AACAACTTATTTCTCGACATGGCACAGGCTTTTATTCTGTATCTGTCAAGCAGTTTTTACATTATGGTGTATGCGATGTTAAGGGAAAAACAGCGAGAATCTGTCAACACATCGCAAAGCGTGAACAGACACCATACGAAAGGTGAGGGAAAACAATCTGTATCTATTTTATGTTAATATCTGAGGAACCTGCTACTTACGATCTGAAATAAATGTTACCCATCTCGCACACACACACACACACACACACACACACGCATGCACAAACTCAACCTCAGTATGTGAGGATCAAAACAAGCGTTAGTGTTAGTCACACTGGAAGCTGAAACTGCAGTTGTTTGTTTTAGTGAAAGAAAGCCAAGAGCCTCTTTTGCTTTCCCATTTCTCTGTCTTCTATTATAGGAATAAATGGAGATTTCCTTTCAGTTGTTTAGGATGCGTACCGACACATAGACACAAACACAACCTCACATACAGACAAGATACAGTGTCTGCACGTGCAAAACTAGCTAAAAGAAGAATGTTATTTTTCTAGTTTGTAACAGTATAGAGGAATTCTTTTTATTTGTTCAAAGAAACTGACAGCAGTTCCTCATTCTCAACACTCATATTGCTTGTCTGTGCCGGTCATTCTTAGTAATATTTGTCAGACTGGGTGACATCAGACTGTAGAACAAAAGCAAAAAAGCATAAAATCTTAAAAATGCGCTGGTGGCTCAGGATGACAGTCAGCTCATCTTAATCTCAACAAACCTGGACGTGCACAGTTATACAGCGGGCCCACAGCTCAAACTTTTTTTGTGACTGCCTACCATGGGTCTTTATCATAAGCAGTGAGTGATTAACAGTGAAGAGCACTCACTCCCAGTATATTAAGCCTGTTGTGTAATGGGCTCACAGCCAGAGTTGCCGGCTGCTCCCACCCTGCTCGCTCGTTGAAGAGGATAACTGAAACTAAGCTGGTATGCAGATAATCTAACCAAACCAGAGAGAGAGCGAGAGAAAACATTTTCATAATCTCCAAGGAGACAGATACATCAAGGAGGCACAGGCAAAAACAAACCTATCATCCTACGTGCTGAAAAGTGTAGTGCTCAGTCTAAAAATGTTGCCTCTTTCTCCCTGTTAGTTAACCTGCTTGGGTAAAATGGCAGTTTTAGTGAAGGAGGAGCAAGATTTTAAATACGTTGCAATGCCTTGTGATTTCATTGCTGTAACACTAAAGCTTTACATGTAAATAAAGAGTGCCTCGCTCAAGAGCAAATTTCAAGCAGTCCTTTGGGATGACTTGTTTCAGCTGAAGTTCATTTCAAGATCTCAAATTAATTAAACACACTTCTGCTTATTATCAGTTATGTCTGGATGTGTGAGCTACAATTTAAAATGATGATAAATTCCTATGTGACTCAAGGGGAACCACATGAATTTGACAGATTCTTTCTGCCCTGTTAGACACATCATTTTAAATATCCCTAAACATCTGTGAGGTGCTGCTATGGAAATGTGACGTGTCTCATTTTTTTCCATCATCTTGAAATTAATAATGAACTCATTACTTTCTCACTTCACTCTGTTATGCCGTTTTTCAATTCCCCCCCCAGTTACTTATATGCCTTAACAGCTGCTTTACTCTTTTTCTTTTTCAGGTCAAAACCTCAAGTTGAAGTTTGGATCTAATGCCTGTCCTGCCTGTCTTTTGCAAACTCCGTCCTCTTGGTTAGAAATCACTATTCTCAACCTACAGCAGCTAGCTACAAAGGAGACTAATGCTTATTAATCGTACCCTTATATCCTCCTCCCAAACGCTGCCTCTCGTTTAAGCCTTTTGTGAGCAGGGAGAGGAGACAACATGGCGCTCAGCTGTCAGCCTTGGCCTCCTCTAATCTGGTTGTGCATAGGATTGCTTCTTTGCTTTCTGTCACCGGCACACGGCAAAGATTGCCCTCATTTGTGTGTTTGCGAGATCCGCCCTTGGTTCACCCCTCAGTCAACCTACAAGGAGGCAACTACAGTGGATTGCAATGATTTAAGGCTAACACACATCCCTACCAACCTGTCAGTGGATACCCAAGTATTACTGCTCCAAAGCAACGCCATCTCTCGTACCAGCGGAGAGCTGGAGGTACTGTTTAACTTGACGGAGCTAGATTTATCCCAAAACAACTTTAGCACTGTGGAAGCTGTCGGCCTCACAAGCATGAACCACCTGACCACCCTGCATCTAGAGGAGAACCAGATCACGCAGCTGCCAGACCACTGCCTGCAAAACCTCTCCAACCTTCAGGAGCTCTACATCAACCACAACCAGATAAGCTCCATCTCCCCTCGAGCATTTGCAGGACTGCACAGTCTGCTGCGCCTCCACCTTAACTCCAACAGGCTCCATGTCATAGATAGCCGCTGGTTTGAAGAAACACCCAATCTTGAGATTCTCATGATTGGGGAGAATCCAGTTATTGGCCTCCTAGACATGAACTTCAAGCCCCTAGTAAGGCTGAGAAGTCTGGTTCTGGCTGGAATGGATCTCACTGATGTTCCACCCGATGCATTTGTAGGTTTAGATAATTTGGAGAGCATTTCTTTCTATGACAACAAATTGGTCAGTATCCCCCAACTGGCCCTTCAGAAAGTTCCCAATCTCAAGTTCTTGGATTTAAACAAGAATCCAGTCCAGAAAATTCAAGAAGGAGACTTCAGAAACATGCTACGTCTGAAGGAGCTGGGCATCAACAACATGATGGAGTTAGTGTCTATTGACCGTTATGCTATGGACAACCTCCCAGAACTGACTAAACTAGAGGCAACCAACAACCCGAAGCTGTCTTATATCCACAGGTTTGCATTCAGGGATATGCCATCCCTTGAGAGTCTGATGCTTAATAATAATGCTCTTACTGCCCTTTACAAGCAAACTGTGGATGTGTTGCCAAATCTGCGGGAGATCAGTCTCCACAGCAACCCATTGCGGTGTGATTGTGTCATACAGTGGATGAATTCCAACAGGACCACGGTGCGCTTCATGGAGCCCTTGACTATGCTGTGCACCTCCCCACCAGAATTTAGAGGTCAACGAGTCAGAGAGTTCAGGCTGCTGGAGTCAACGGAGCAGTGTCTTCCCCTTATATCCCATGAAACCTTTCCCAGCCACTTGAATCTAGAGCTGGGCATGAGCGTGAGCCTGGACTGCCGGGCAATGGCTGAACCAAATCCAGATATATACTGGGTGACTCCTCTTGGAAACAAAATCACAATGGACACTGTGTCAGAGCGCTATCACTTGAGCAGCGAAGGCACCCTGCGGCTTTCTCACGTGCAGGTGCAAGATTCTGGTCGTTACACCTGCGTGGCCCAGAACACTGAAGGGGCCGACACACGGGTCGCCACCATCCGCATAAATGGAACCCTGCTCGACAGCGCTCAGGTGATGAAGATTTATGTCAAGCAGACGGAGTCACACTCCATCTTGGTGTCCTGGAAAGTCAACTCTAATGTCATGTCCTCGAACCTGAAGTGGGCTTCGGCCACCATGAAGATTGACAATCCACACATCACCTACACAGCCCGTGTCCCTGTAGATGTCCACGAGTACAACCTCACGCACCTTCAACCTGCCACCGAGTACGAGGTATGTCTCACTGTCTCCAACATCCACCTGCAGACACACAAGTCTTGCGTTAATGTGACAACACGTAGCGCTACCTTTGCCCTGGACCTGACAGACCAGCACCCAAGCGCAGCTGTGCTAGCTGTCATGTCAACCATGTTGCTCTTCCTCAGTCTGGCCACTGTGGGCATCTACATGGCCCGAAGATGGAAGAGGAAAAATTACCACCACTCCTTGAAGAAATACATGCTGAAGACATCCTCCATTCCACTTAACGAGCTCTACCCTCCACTCATTAACTTATGGGAGGCTGACGGTGAGAAGGACAAAGATGGGAGCACAGAGGGAAAACCCTCTCCTGTGGACACCACACGCAGTTATTACATGTGGTGAGGATTCACTGAGGATTTATTGTCTCCAGCAGCACAACGACACACTTTTGCCATTTTGGGGCAAAAGTTGACTAAAGTTTCAATTTTTTTGTATTCTCAGCTTTGCTAATAAGAGGCAGAGTGATCAAGTGCAGGATTTTTATTAGTATAGCGTATCGCCTTTGTTTGATTCTTTCTAACGTTCTGGACTTTCCAAGATGGCAGCTGTAGTTAGCCTCCAGGTTGTCTTAGTTGCTCTGCTCTGTTTCTGTGGTACATTTTTGACTCACTTATTTTTGGGAAGCTTCTACAGCAGCAGGGTCGATGAACTTCTTCCAGCATTACTAGAAATGTTTCTTTCTCGGTTTTGTAAAACAGTTAATCTGTTGCGCACTGATAGATAAAGGAGTTTGTACAAACTTCGAAGCTGACAATGGGGTTTAGACTTGTTAAACTGTCTACTGAATGTTAGCAATTGTGCAGTAATGTTGTATCAACTATATCTTTGAACTTTCTAATTTACAGCGCAAGATATTAGGATTTTAGGTTGCAGATAAATGTGATGTTAAATGCTAGAAATGCAAATGTTTGATAAGTACCTTTTGACTTCTTTTTCCTTAAGGTGCACTAGAAGCCTTTTGACTTTTTGTTCATTCTTTTATTTGGCTAGACATTTGTTGGCTGCTTAGTTTATTATTTTCACATGCAACATGTATACTAAACACGTTAAAATAAATAACATTTTGATTCTTTTACAGAACTTTGGGAGTTTTCTGTGACTCTTTGGCATTAGAATTGCATCTGTTTGCTTTAGATTAACAGTATTAGTGGTTGATGACACATGCTGTATTTAGGCTCTGAATTTCATGTCTTAATAAACGGTACTCTAAGCTCTCAGTTCCACAGATAGACGTGAATGTGTGCTGCCCTCTGGTGGATGCTACATATTAAAACTAATCATGTTTAATATGGCTTTTTATCAAAGCTTTTACTTTCAGTACATAACTAATACAACATACAAAAAAGAGGAAATACTGCTTTATTACAACAACTTTATAATGGAAATATATGAAACAGTGATTTTGAGCAAAAAAAGTACAAGTTTCTATAATGATTTTACAGCAAAGTCATTTTCTGTACATTAAGATTTACTTTCAGCAGAACCAGCTTTTAGCTGATAATGGCAACAATAAAAAAAAAAACACACTAATCTGTTCCAGTGAAAGGTACAGTAACTTGAATTATTAATATTTTTCCCACCAGTGCTCAAAGGTGGCCAGAGAAAGCTTTTCCATTCATTTCTTATGAAAACATCTGAAAAACTATAAAAAGTGAGAATACTGTGAACATATATCATAGTAGAGAAGATTTACTGTCCATCATATTCAGATGTTTGGCAATGAGATCACAGATCACAGGTTGCATGTCCTTCCTGCATAGTCAACAACGGGTTGTTGCAGCTTCAGTAAAAGTGTGTTTAAGACAAGCAGGTGAGATTATCGTTTCCCCTGAGAAACACAGCGGAAACCAAGATTAGAAGCTGAGCTGTCCGGTGTATTTTGGCTTCTTGCTGCACAGCGATACCTGTAACAGTAAGACTGAAAAAGGGGGGGAACGGGGGGGAAATGTACTGTGAATGAACTGAATAATGTCAGTAACAGACACTGCGTTGTGATATTTTACTGTTTGATAGTCAAGACTACTGATATTAATCTTGTAGACAGCCTGCTTATGCACAGTCTCCAATCACTGACCTCTCGGGTCCCTCACATGTGTAAGTATAATGTGAAACAAGAAGAAAACTGTGGCCAGTCAACATGTGACAAGGCTGTCACTAGCATCAAAAGCCCCATGAACCAGAAAGGAAAGAATGAATACATCTATCCCTTTGTTATCCCACAGGTGGAGAGTAACAGAGAGCAGAGAGCTACCCTACTTCCTCTTAGAAATGCTAATATCAGTTGTCTGGATTCAGTGTTTCCAACAATAACATGGTTTCTCCAACAGCCAGAACCGCTTTACTTTCACTGATCACTTTATTCCAAAAAATCCCACAAAATCCCAGTGAGTGAGGCCCTTGGTATATTTAACAAATAAATAATTAACCACGTTTTAAATTTCAGATTTAAAAAACTGGATGTTTAACATAATTTTTTTCATACCCTGTGGCACATGTATGACCCTCCCTTCTTCACTTTATCTTTGCCCGAGGGAGGCCCCGTCTGAAAGAGAGCAATGGTAGATAATAATTACAGAAAAAGAAAAAATCAACACCCACGACAATTACAAAAGCCTGAATGTAATCTGCCATTACTGGGTTGCGTTGCGGGGCCGTGGTGTGATGCACAGTCCACCAGTCTGCTGTCCATTCCCATGCATTCCCCACCATGTCGTACAGACCAAAAGCATTGGGAGGAAAGGACATCACCTGTAGGGTATAAGGGCACTACTGTCACTTTACTGCAATGTTTTTAAAAATACATTATTGTTAATATTATCATTTCTAATTTCTAAATTCTACACTAATTCTAAAAGTAGTCTAATCTATCTATCTAAAGGATATTTAAGCCCTGTGGCTTGAAGAAACTATTGTGCATGAATATTTGTGTCTTTCAATGGTACACACAGTATATTATGGTAATCGCTAATGCTACAGTATTATTTGGCCTGTTAGTGCTGCTGACAAACTGATATCCTTAATCACAGTGAGAAAATAAAATGAATAAATACATAAATAATAAAAACTATATCAACTTTTGTGAACATAAATTAGACATGAAATACCAATGATATGATACTATTATGAGGCGCTATAGGTTTTAAATGCATAAAACGGGTCATTTTAGCCCCTTGCCAAGTAGTTTCTAGAAAACATGATGACACTATAATATCTGATATAGATAAGAATCTTTAAACTTATTTTGGTTGCTTAACTCCTCCCAGTATAGAAGGAGTTTGTAGACAAAGGAACAAACACACAGACAGAGATTTTCTTTTATAGTAAGATACTGTTCATTGTTGTTAAAATAACTTGCAAAAAAGATGACTGCAGAAAATTGTTTATTTACACATGCACAGATTTTTAAGTTACGTAAACAAAAAAAAGTGTCAAGTTAGTGAAGCTGAAGGTTGACTTTACAGGTTTGATGGGTTCAGTGACATTCTTGGAAAAAAGACTGGGCATTTACATGGTAGATGGAAACTGAAAAGCTTTGTTATCTTAATGCAGAAAGCAGAATGTTGAAACACAAATCAAACCTCTAAACCCGCTGGACAACTAAAGGGATTTCTTAGCTGAGCTCAAGTTCCCCTATTACTTCAACATCAGTGACTGCCTTTTACCCTAACAAGGTGACATAATGCAGATTAGAATATCATTTTACATCAACACCGTATACTCTTAAAGATTTCACACAGAAATCGGATATTCAGGATTCATACTAGAATTGGAACTATGAAGTTGCCTCTGTTAAGAAAGACTGGATTTATGTTGTCTTTTTGTAATCTATGTAATCTCTCAAGGCTGCAAGCTTCTTTTGTGACTTCATCGAGCTTTGGAATTCGTAATTATGTCTAGTATTTTCCTGGGCCAAACTTTTTCTGACTAAACCTGAAATATGAGATCCCTCAACACACCCATAATTATGGCATTTCTTCATTCTTGCTTGTGTCTCTTACCGGTGAAGTTTTGATATACCCATCTTCTCCAGAGTTGTGTGTGGGGAAGTCTCCCTGCCAGAGGTTAGCAAAGTGTTGTCCTTTAGGGTTCAACTTGTTTCCCCATGGATAAAGTCTAAATGTAGGCGTGGTATACCAGGAAAGTAATCTGAGACATATTTCATGTAGGAAATGCACATTTTCAAACATCTTTCACAGAAAAGTTCCTTTTGCATTTGTGCTTATGAATCTTCTGCTCACTTTGGTCATACGTTGTTATTATTCCCATTTTTCAATGCACATTTCAGACTAGAGGTTTGTTAGTATTTCCCCCTCTTATAAACTGTGTGTTAAGCAACTGTAACAAAGCAGTTTCCCTACATGGATCAATAATGTGTTTTCTGATTATGATGCATCATCATCATCATCATCAGTTAACATCTTACCTGTCTTTCAGGCCACCCCTGCAGGCATACTCCCACTCTGCTTCTGTAGGGAGTCTCTTGTTAGCCCAGGAGCAGTAGGCAACAGCATCTATCCACGAGACATGCAAAACAGGATGATGGAGCCTAAAAAACACAGATTTAAAGTAATTTACTGAGCTCTTATCAGCTTTTCATAAATAAAAGAAGAGTGAAGGTTTGATGCTTGATAGGTGTTTTATATAAATGTGGAGCGTATTATTGAAAACATTACGAAGTTTTTAGTAAAAGAGAGTTTTTCTACCTGTCTGTGATGTTGGAGTCTGGGCCCTCAGGGTGCCTCCAGGAGGCTCCTTTGACTGGAAGCCACCAAGGGGCAGCGGCCACCTAACAACAAATGGTAGTAACAGTTGTTACTGACCGCATTATGCTTTTCACACTTTCTTTTCTGTTTTTCTCTTGCAAAGCCCACTGATGTGCAACCCCTCAAACAACAGGCCATTTTCAACACTCTTAAACAGTTGTAGTATAAATCATCACGTCCAGCTAAAGACAAAAACGTGCTCTCTGAAGGTGCTGGGTTAAAACTAAAATGTAATTATTTAAATGAATAAAACATACTGTGCTGCATTTATAAAATGCAATCCCTGTCAAAGGCTGCCTTATTTATTTTAATATTATTTGACTGGAGCAGCTTACAGTTCCCAAGAACAACATTTGTCATGATGCTAATATTGATGCTGTGCTGCTAATTTTTAATATATCTAAAATGTTGAATGTAAATATGTGAGATATATTATATTAAAGTGGTCATTTATACATTTATGACTTTATTTTAGGTTCAGATAGCTATAGAGGAACATGCATGTGCACAATAATTGTTGTAAAGACCCACCTTTTAGCACATCCCAGCCCACCCACCCACTCACTTCACCAGATGCACCTTGTTTAGTTCTCTCACCTTTGATTGGGTGTGGTGCTTGTCCTTAATTGCACTCACCTGTCACACATTATATAAGGACTGCATTCACTTTTGGCTCACTCTTTTATAATAAAATATGTGTAACTTTAATGACAGCATCACACTTTTAGAATAAAGAACTTTGTTGCCAAAATCCAACAAATGTATAACTTTCAAACTGGGACTCTTTGGGAAATAATTAGCAGTAATTAGTGAAGTTATTGTGCCATATGGGTAAATGTGTGGAAGCCTCTAGGTTTGAGGGTCATACAGAAGACTTCTATAGGTAAACCCGTCAAGCTGTAGTTATGTAATGAACACACAGTGAAAACTAGAAACATCAGGAAGCATCAAACAACAATCTCTTGGAAATGTTCTGTCCAAAACCACAAAAACTATCTTTAGCACGCTCCAAAGTTCATCGACTCATGTTGCTGCTGAAGTGTGGTAAAAGTCTTCAGTCCTGTGTGCATAAAAAAAAAAAAAAAAAATACTGGAAGCTGCCAGTGCTACCCCTCCGCCTCCTAGTAAATGCACCTAAAACATCAACTTAAAATTTCTACATTACTTCTTTATCAAGTTACTGCATTTACAGACTTGTGTATTCACACCACCTGCCTGCCCACCTAGCGGGGTGACGACAGTACCCCCATCAACCTTTTACAGCTGACAGGTAAAAACTGTTTAAGGTGACTTTCTGTGAAGGAGGTGCTTTGAGGCTTCTTCCTATTTGGCATGATATTTTTATTTTTTATTTTTGCAAAGCACACGACTGTAGGTGAAACTGTCACATGCCGAAGAACTGGATTATCAAGCCTCTGGGCGTTTGATAAACAAATTAGCCACATTTCGTCAAGCAGCAAGCTAACATTAGGGTTTTCCATCTGTTGTGGGGACCCTGACATAAAAAATAAAGCCGATCCACTGTGTCCTCAGATTCAGAGCATGCATAAAGACTCCTGTGTTTCCTCTTTTGCTGCCAAAAACAGAAAATTTGGCGTGCTTTTCTTGTGACTGGGACATTTTAGAGTGTGAGAAGTGGCTCAAAAAAAGGGTGGACTGCTCATACCTTTGTTTGAGGGCATATAAAATAGCCACAAGGTGGGCATGATGAAAATGTGATATAGAGAACTCAAAGGAGAAAAGCATGGGGTTCAAATGAAACCTTTGACCTAGCTCAGCATCAGTGTTGTTTGTGGGAGAGAAAAACTCCCTTTGGGAACTTTAGCTACATGTACTTATATGAACAAAAAAGCTTTTTACACATAAACATTTACAGACATCTAAACACAGCATGAAAGCCTGTGAGGTTACATTTATTACAACACTTTATATTTACTGTTGTCTACTAAACATAGTGTGGGAACTTGGACCTCTAGTCCTGCAAGCTACCAATATCTATGTGTAAGCAATAAATAGTTTGTTAGATCATTGCATAAGTGCAAACTAATGTAGAGCGCATCTTTGACTGTGTGCTCGTTTTGTGCAGTGAAATCGAAAGCATGACATGTAGCCTGTACATGTCTTCCTTCAAAGCTACAACTGATGTAGCAGGTAAAAAGTGAGCTGCACAGGTAAGTCGCCTGCTCAGTGGTACACTTACTGCTTGAGTGACTTGGCTTTTCACTGGCTCACTCAAAAGTCCCTCAAAAACAAACGAGTCTCCAAATTTCTCTGCCTAAAAATCAGAAAAGACACAGATTTTATGGGCAAAAAACAACACCAGGATAATGAAAACCACTCACAGAAAAATACGGTTTAATTTTTAAATATTTTTTAAAACCTCAGTCACATATCCTGTCGCAAGGACGAAGCTCTGAAACTGTTGATTAGTGACTTCATGGATGTCTATGTTGAAGGAGTCCACATACACCATTCTCTGGGGGCCCTCACCGTCTGGGGGGATGCCTGGGTTGTCTGTTCCCATCAGGAACTCCCCTCCAGAAATCTGCACCATCTGCACGGAACAAGTACAATTTTTATTTACATATGCAAACAAACTGTGCTAGAAACTGGAATGTAGATTCAGGATTAATAACTCTTATGAGCTACAAGATCATAACAACCAATAAAGAACACAATAAAACAATGAAGATCTATAATATATCTAGTAAAAATCTAAGTTATTAGCCACCTATAAATAATAGAAATACTAGTAGAAATAAAAAAAATATGACACCAGAGTGTCACAAATGTGCAATATTAAGAGGGTAACTTACAGGAAACAAAGGCTAGGCTGTCAAACTTCCTGCTTCTGCATTCAAGTCATATTTACAGCACATGGTGTTATGGTTTATTTAAACACAAAACTAAAATTAGCACATATGTGGACACAATTTTGCAACCCTTGGTTTTGGTGTTAATCGACAGATCTGTGTTGCAGCTGATTGGCTACAAGGCCTTGCTTATGCATGGGAACCTCGGGAGGCCTAATAGTTCCAAGAACGATTAGATTCGACTTTGGTAACAACTTTATGACATTTTGCACGCATAACCTCATCTCCACACTCTCACAAAATAGCGGTGGGTTTTTTTTCTTCTGTAACAGGAGTCGCAACATACCGGACTTTGTGTTTCCCGCTCATTGTCCTGCACCTGATTCGTCCTGTCATTTGCGTCTTTGGAGTATTTGAGATCAGGATCTGTGGAAGCTGCTTTACCCTCATCCTCGTCCAAGGGATCCACAGTTGGAGCGTCTCTAGTCAGCTTATCACAACCGCAGCCCGCCGCTCTTTCCGGGCCTGGAGGTTCTGCGCTACATGAACTCTGAAGACACAACACTTTGCTCACACATCCAAATATGAACAATAAGGTGAAATAACGCAACATTTTGATGGTTTGTTTCCAAGGCATAGCTCAGGGTCCATGCATGATGTTGACACTGTTGCTTCCGTAAAGTCACGTGGTCAGTCAGCTGGCTACAGTGTAACAAAACGTAACCCTTTCCTTCCAGAAGTGAATGTTTGCTGTGGACTAAACTCTGTTAATCCACAAAAACACTGCAAATTCTGATCACGGCTCGCAAATACAGCTACATCCGGGGGTGTATGATGATATTAATACAATCGCTTATCTGAAATACACTTCAATGACTTATTCGCCCAAAATCACACAGATTTTTGACCTTTCTGTTTTGTTTTGTTTTTTTTTACATAAAAATAGACTTCTTCGTATAAATCTGGGCAGCGCAGTAGCAGGAGTGATAACCCAGCTCAGATTTTCTTAGCGGTAGGATGGGGCGACGTGGACATCATTTCCCAGCTATCAACACTACGGCCGCTTGAGAAGAAGAAGTGGAAGTGAGCCAGGCAGTTCAACCAGCCAGTGCCTGCCTGCCTCAGTGAGCACAAGCTGCGGGAGCACTGAGAGGCGCGGAAAGGTGTCCGAGCTGTCAAAAAACTGGATTATTACAGTCGCTGACGCCTGGATGTTATCCCCCGGCCCGGAGGAGAGGAGAACCGCAGTCATGTTCTCTTAGCTGGCCCAGAGAAAGCTAAATACCCGAGCACAGCCGAGGTAAAGTTGAGAGCTTAACTTGAGCAGTTTGCCATCATCCTCCTTTCATATGTCTATCTTCTCGCAGCGAAAAGGGGGGGAAAAGGATTTAGTTCTCCTTAAATGGTTAAAAAAAACCCTCAGAGCTCAAAAGTGGCGCTTTTTAGTGAATAATATTTTTGTTGAAGAGAAGCCCAACAAGATTGTATCACGGTCGGGTGGATCTTACACCGACAATGATTTCGGGCTGCTGTGAAGCAATGCGATAGTGAGCCGCGATTACAATGCTAAGGCTGGATGTGCTTTCTCAAGTTTCGCTGGCGCTTCGGTGCTTAGATGAAGAAGATCCGAACTTTTGCTGTGTGATCGTTGATCGTTTGGTCGGGCTTGCAACAGACGGCGGTCGGAAAGCCACCAGAATAACTTGTTATGGGGCTTTATCGACCTCAGTGAGAGGCAGTGCTTAAAAAAAGAAAAAAGAAAAACACACAGGCAGATAACCTGAGTGGAGGGGACCTGCATTGCTCTCTATCAGCTTTCAGTGGCCATGACCTGTTGCAGGTGCATAAACCTTGCTGGCAGCTGCAGCTCCTAAACATGTAAGGCGCAGCACAACACCAGCGGGGCTACAGTAACATCTAATAGACATTTTCTCTTCCTCTCTATGCAAATCCTTGCAGCCTGACAGTTGTGTTTGTGTAGTCTCCACCTGCAAGGGAACCCGCTCTCTGAAAACTGCTTCTAACTTGGAACTAATTTGCATATGGATACTGAATAAATGCATGATGGTATGTGTCCATGAGAGGCATGTTATATTAAATGATCTAATAATATCCATATTTTCTCCCAATTTCTCCTATACAGGTGCTCCCTTGTGTGCCAAACATGTCGGACAAAATGTCCAGTTTCCTACACATTGGGGACATCTGCTCCCTGTATGCAGAGGGATCAACCAATGGTTTCATCAGCACCCTAGGGTATGTCCCTGTGCCTGTGTGGAGGGCCCACTTCACACTTTTCTTAAAAAATGCTGCTCAATCATGATACTGAGCCAGCAGTTTTTGGAAGGGAGGAAATCACACTTGTAGTAGCAACTGTTAACCATTTTGATGACAAAGTCGAGAACAAGCACATTTCTTCCCTTTAGTCCGATGCCTGTGTATGCACGTGTTTGCTTACATGCAGCGACAGGGTCATCATTTGGTCTCGGAATGGGATTAAGTAGTGAATGTAATTTGTTGCAACAAATGCAAAAAACATGCAGATTATGCTAAAGTTTGGGGCAGGCCTGGGTTGGAAGGGTAGAGTTAGAAGACAATAAATGGTCTGGTGGTACTGTTGGCAAGCCACTCATTTGCCCACACAGTCACATCATTAATGTATCATTTTCCTCCATCAATTCTCCTTACTTGTAAAATGCATATTTTTGATATGGTCTGTCTGTTGGGTTTACTTACACTGGCTTACTGCTTGAAATACTGGCCTTAGGATATGACAGAAATATCACAAGCGCAGTAAGATTCAGTTGTGCTGCTTTTAACCTCTCCCCTTTGTTCTGAATCTAAACAAAGCAACAAGAGAAAGTTTGCATTAATGTTTTTGCTGGTATAAACCATCAGGAAATCACAAGCATTAGCATTAGTAATGGTATCAGGGCTATCTGCTCAGTGTCCTGGACCTCCCCTCCTGGCTCATGAAAAATGGAATGACCTACAGTGAAGACTGAGTCACTATAGAGACATTGTGGCCTTTCTGGAGTTCATGTGCTTCCCACATAGACACACACACGCACGCACATGCTAGCACATGTATTTAGAAAATTGTCATGACGGTTTTGGCCAGAAGCCATCCTCTCCACGCATAACCACCAACTCAGCAGCAGATCAACTGCCCTTAAAGTAAGACACCATACTGAGAAAATTCTGTACACATTAACTCTTTTTCTTCACTCAAATAGCAGTCCAAGTCAACAGCTGCAGAGGGGAGGGGGCTATATGAGCAAATGAAAGGCTACATTTTTCTTTTTCCTCTTTTTTGGGGGGGAAATGCTGCTGTGTGCATTGAGTATTTAGCAGGACCCGTCCTGTTTGTGCAGAGGTGTAACTATTAAACTTGTGTTAATAACTGACCACTGTGAAAGCGAAGTTGCGTGAAGCATGCTCATGTGACGGACCCCCCCCCCAAGAACAGTAAGGAGTTTTGATGCCAGATTAACTTCAGCAGAGTTTAGCATTGATTCAGTAAGACTCCACTGAAGGGCTGCAACACCGTGTTTCCAAAACATACTCCCTCATTTGGTGTTTTGACAATACTGGTGTTGAAAACTGACTAACATGTTGATCCAAAGGCTAATTCTCGTAGTAAATTAGGTTTAAATCTGATAACTGCAAAGGTCAGCGCATGTGATTCATGTTATTTTCAGCAACAACTTTGTGTTGATTTGCAGTTAGTATTCATTCTAAGGGGTCAGGGAGATTAGAGCTTCCACAGTATAGTGGAGCAGTTGAATGCCTTCACTTTTGAGGTGAAAAAGTGCGAGTTTTTCCTTTAATTTGGCACTCTGCTGTTATTTGTCTTAACACGCATGGGTATGTTCGCCCTTTGTAGTCGGTCTTGTTCCTCGAGATGTGCAGGCTGATGGAACAGTGAGGTCTGTTTGGGCAACTTCAGAAGGCTGAAAGTGGATGTGGGATTTGGCCTGTGTCCAGACAAGTGTTATTCTAAGCCAGTGAAAGCTAAATTTGTCACCAGAAATTCCTGTCCGGCCACCGGTCATTTAATCCAGAATATTTCCTTATTTTGTGGAAGGGGAGGCTAAAACATGCTGCAACTATGTAACGATCCCAGATAATTCATGAAACAAAGGTAGAGTTTTTGCACACGCTTTTGTTGGAAATACTTTTTTGCCCGAGTCTCTGTTTAGCACATACACAGTAAGCTTAAACACAAACCCACAGGAATGATGAATTTAAGTGACTCTGATATCCAAGAACAATGGCAATCTTAGTACATCTGCAGAAATGTTGACCAGTTATGCTGAGTTGTAGTTCTGAAAATGTGGTGTTGATCACTTTGACTGTCTCAGTATTATCAACCCTCTGTTCCTCCTGGCCTTTTAAATGTTCCGATCATTGCTGTGCTATAAAATTATTAATCAAACACACTCAACTGATGCAGTGTTTTTGAAATTAGCTTGCAACTGGTACTTTTTCTTTTTAAATTAAGCAGTGTTTAAATATTTTTTTGTACCAATTGATTCATTGTGAGCTCTAAAAATATAAACATCAAAATGGCCTAATTGCAGATAATTAAATTTTTGTTAAAATGGTCCAAACTTCATAAGCATTCAGCTCACTATAATAGAAGGATAAGAAAATGATTACATACTTATTCGAGTCTTGTTTAAAAATAAAACAAAAAAAACAACTTTAAAGGTGAACTTAACTATTCCTCATTGCTGCTGTGGTTGTTATGCTCGGGGCTTTGCCAGCTTTGTCATGGTAACTTGGGATATGATCTTATTATATGTATAGCGCTTACATGTTTCATGTGTCCGTATTTACAGCCTGGTGGATGACCGCTGCGTCATCCAGCCTGATGCTGGGGACCTCAACAACCCGCCGAAGAAGTTCAGAGGTAAGAGGAGCAAATTAATCTCCCCTCTTCCTCGTGACACTCCTCCTCATAGCACTAACTGCTATCTGTTTATACTGTGAAGCGTGTAAGACCTGCTGCTGAATGTGTTATGCTGTGTTTCTTTGGTGACAGCCACAATATCTCAGCCTCCTGGACTTCAAACAGGCGTGTGTGTGTGTGTATTTATTAGCTGTGTGCCCTAGCTCGCACAGGTCTGTGGAGGTAGAGGCAGATGGAGAGAGTCATCTCTTCTGCTCATTTGTTGAAAAGAAAAAAAAAAACACCCACTTGAGAATCTGTTTTCTAAATAAAAATCCTTCAGCTGTGTCTTTGGGTGAATTTGCTATTATTAGTTCTCATACAGGAAGTAGAACTCGTGACCTGCAGTTCTCAGGCTAGAGGTTTATGTCCCTTGGGGAGAGCTGGCTAAACATTGTACACAGAATATGATTGAAGGCCTGAGCAGTCACAGGCACTGGTACACATTTATAAGAAACGTGCACTTTAGCTTGCTGCTGCTGGATGACACTTAAAGAAAATGTAATATAGCTAGACCGTTGGTAGAGCTTCAACCGCATATTCAGATTTTCATTTTAATTTAAGTTTTTTGAAAGAGAGAAATGTAGTCTTCCTTGGTTCTTTGTTTTCACTGGCAATTCAAAGTAATTGTATCGGCCATTTCTATAAAAGCCTACAAAAGAGAGTAATTACAGCCTTTCAGAATTGTACGTTGTGAGCATATAAGACATATGAGTACTTATCCATTTGAATTATTTTATTTGTCTTT